ACAGAGCCACCTTCTCCCTCCTGCTTGCCCCCACCCCACCCTACCTGCTGGCCTTCCAGTGTTTACCTGCAGGATTTAAGTCAACTGACAAGGACTGTAATCTCATAATTAGCATTTATCTGCTTGCAGCCCAACTGCCATTCCCTGCTTCTGGAGTTCAGCAGAGCCAGGCCCCCCAGGAGGCGCAGCCACAGCACTAGGGCCTGAAGGAGGGTGTGACATGGGAGCAGAAAAAAAAGAGAGCATCAGAATAGAGCCCCAGCTCAACTATGGATTTCAGAGGACACAGCCCTGCCATGTCCTGGCTGGATGCCCATGAGCTCCCCCCACCCCCCACCCCAGTTTCCTCATTAAAGGAGAATATGAAGCACTTCTACCCTCCTCAGGAAAGGAGAGGATTAAAGGGGATGTGAGCTGCAGCCACAAATTCAAGGCTGTTGTAATAGGTAAATAAGGTGTAGGTGACAGGTGCCAAGGGCTGGTACTGTAGCAGCCTCTGCCTACTCTACTCACTTGCCCAGGACAAAGTGGAGGTGGGGCTGAGCATAGGTAAAAACATCCCCTTACTGTAATGTTTGCAAGGTTTATTCCTATTTTAATTTATAGTAGGACTTTGTCTCTTTTCATGGCTAAATAATATTCCGTGTCATGGAGATGCTGCATTTTGTTTGCTGGTCCTGAGGCTTGAACTCAGGGCCTGGGCTTTTATGCTCAAGGCTAGTATTCTACCACTTGAGCCACTTGAGGGGGAGATGCCTCATTGGAGATAAGAGTCTCATGGGCCTTCCTGCTTAGTCTGGCTTCGAAACACGATCCTCACATCTTAGCCTCCTGAGTAGCCAGAATTACATGTGTGAGCTACTGGTGCTTGGCTAGGGTTTCATTTATTTTACTCTGCTGTGAGCCTGGCTCCCTGGACTTAGGGTGAAGCCAGAGCCAGCCCAAGCCCTCCTGAGTCAGAGACAGAAGAGTTGGCGTGGCTTCCTTTCTGGTGACTACGGTCTTGTCCTTCTTGATCTCTATCTGGGCCAAACTTGAAGCCTAGGAAGTGATGCTTTTGGCTTGAGGTCACACAGCAATGTCGCCCCCGAGGCCCGTTTGTGCTGCTGCCCTCCCTCGGGGTTCTTCACTGCCAGCCTGGGAGCTGAAGAAGAATCTAGGTGATTGATTTTCATCCAGAGGCCATTTTTCCCTCTGGGGGATGTCCATCAGGATCACAGCTGGGGAAGGGTGTCCCTGGGACAGAGGTGCGCAGGTGCGGCCAGGCAGGTGTGCCCCTGCCAGGCAAGTGTGCAGACATACACCATGCAAGCTTGTGCAGACTTTCACAAATGGGGAAAGCTCCGAGAAGCAGAGCTCCCTGTCTTCCCTCTCCTGGCCCTGCCTTCTGCCCTCTAGCCAGTACCATGGGGCACAGCACAAGGAGAGATTTCCTGACAGGGATCCTAGCTGGGTGGTGCGTTCCTTTGCAAGCCCTGAATGTCAGCCTTGGGCCTGGTGGCTCGAAGAAAAGAAGTTCAGTATCTCACAGTCCTGGCAGTCCAAGGTATGGAGTCAGGGTGGCAGCAGGGAGGTCATGGTGAATCTTCATCTTATGTGGCTAATGACCCCCCCTAGCATCGTATTTCCAAAGAAGCTCATAATCAAAGGACCTGGGGTTAGCACTTCCGCCTATGAACTTAGGGAGAGAGTGCGGGTGGGGCACAATTCAACCCCTAAGAGCCAGGCAGCAGTCTGTCCATTGGTTCTCTCAGGCAGCAGGTTTGGGTGAGCTGGTATGAGGGAGCTTCTGCACGGAACTGAATTGCATTCAGTCTAACTGTGGACTTTGCATAGAGCTTGGGCGACAATCCTGACCCATAATAAGAATGCCTACTCCCAAGTTTCAGAAAGGGCATGTGGGGGGCTCTTAGCACAGTGCCTGGCACACCCACAGCTCCCCTTCAAAGGCAGTTTTATTCTGCAAGTGTTCGCAGGGTGTGTGCTGTGTGCAGACATAGGCTGACATTCACAGGAAGCTTCGGAGAGAGGGTGTGGGGGGCCAGGGTGTGGGCAGGCCTGCGCTCACAGGGGCATGCACTCCGGGGAGCCCTTTGATGGTGCCTATGAATCAGAAATCTGTACTGCACAGTCGCCTGGAGGAGAGGACAGGAGGCAAACCCCAGGCTTTTCTTTCTAACTCTTTCTCCCAGAAGTCTGTGAGATGCTTCAGTTAACCAGCAAAAAAGCTGGACGTGGAGCTGTGGCTCAAGTGGTAGAGTGCTAGCTAGCCTTTAGCAAAACCAAAAGCTCAGGGACAGCGCCTAGGCTCTGAGTTCAAGGACCAGTACTGGCACAAGAAAAGAAACAAATCCGATGGCAGGGCTGCCTCTTCCGGGAAGCCTTCCTGTCCTGGTTAGATTTGGGGTCTCCTCTCTGTGCTAGCATTCACCTGGTTATTAAAGCTACCAGGGAATGTCAGAGAGCAAGACAGAAAGCAGGACGTCTGGCCTCACTTCTGTCATCCTGGACCCTTCCTGGCTCAAGGCTTGGCAGGCGGACAGTGCTCCAAAAATGAGTTGGACTGGCTCAAATGCCACAGGCTGGTCTCCTTGGCAGCCTGGGTGCCCCCTCCCCACCCCTTGCCAGTTCAGCTGTGGTTCACCTGGTCCAGGGGGTACAAGGGCTCCATTGTGTGCCAGTGTGGACAGGAATGGGGGCGATGCCCGGGAGGGCAGATCCCAGACAAAGCCTTCTTTAAAGAAGCCACAGCAGCATGCTGACAGACAACGAACCCAGAAACATTCCAGGTATCAAAAGAACCAGAGGCCCAGGTGAACTTGGCCAAGGTCAGGTGAAAGTCAGCGATGGGGGATGGCCGCCAGTGCCTGCAGCTGTCCTCTCCGCCCTCAGCCCCCCAGCTGACGATGCCAGAGGGCCCTGCCCCCCGTCTACAAGGTGAGAGCTGGCAGAGATGGCGGGGCTCCCATTGCATCCCAGGGGACCGATGCCAGGGGGACTCAGAGCCAGCGTTGATCTTCAGCTACACCTGAAACTTGAGCAGGGCCCAAGTTGCTGGCAGGCATGGGCCAGGGAACCAGCTCCTGGAAAAGAGGTTCCTGGCTCAGAGACCCTGAAGACATGGCCAGTGACTGAGGACAGAGGGGTCCTCCAGGGAACAGCGCAGGCCCACATGCCCTGTGTTCTACTTACAGTGGCCGCCCGGCCATTGGCCAGCTGGGAGGGGCCTTCTCTGTGCATAGCAGCTGCCCAGCCTGCCTGCAGCAATCCCTTCTAGCCTGCTTGCCTAGAATCCCGCTGATGGGATTGGACTTCTGCCTCCTGGAACACTTTCCCTTCCCCTTCCCTCCTCCCCAGAGCCCCATAGAAGGCCCAGGCCTGTTTGGATGCCACAAGCACAGGTGCATGTCTGCTGGAGGGAGGGAAAGGACATAGAAAGTGGACAAGAGTGACAATTCCCAAAGTTATTGTCCTTCTGGGACTGTGCCCCTAACTCCTCAGGCTTGACAAAGGGACCCAGAGGGACCTACCATGGATCTCCTAGGCCCCTGAACTCAGTTTTGCTCCCAGCATGCCCCTCCTGTCAGTTTCTCTCTGTCCCTTCTACAAGGGCTGTTCACAAGGCCTTTGGGACTGTCACCAGCCTTGGTTCTCCTGCTCATCCAGCCACTGTCTCTGACCCCTCAGGGTGGTACTAAAATAGGTCTGTCTCCCCTCCAAGCCTTGCCTGTGTTAGGACTCAGTTGACATCTTTTGATAGTTGTCCAGGGCCCAGTGAGCATCGTGAGCCATGTGTGGGCCTCAGTCAGATTATGCTGATGGTTGAGGGACCCCCAACCCACACAGCTCTCTGTGGAAGCAGAGGAGGCAGGGAGGGGTGAAAAGATGCTCAGAGGACAGACACGTACCAACCCAAGAGCTGGCCTGCCAGGGCCCTGGCTGCCATTTCCTACCAAGGATGCTTTGTGCTATGATTTCCTCCACTGAGAGTAATCAGCATGATTTCACGTTAAAGGATGGTGTAAGATTAGCTGTTGCTCGAATTCCTGGGGTGGTGAGGGCACCTCTCTGCCCTCCCTCCGGTGCTTCTCTTCTCCCCTTAGTAGCAGAGGGCCTATGAGGCGTCCATGCTGACTGAAACCACTGTCTGGCCCTCCATCCATCTGTGCAGCTCCCCTGGGCCTAGGGAACAGGCGCTGCCTCATTAGGCAGAGAGCACTGGGTGGTTTAACTCCCCTGGCTGTCTGGCAGAGCCAGGGCATCAGGGAGTCCAGGTGTTGTTCCCAGAGCACAGGGCCGTGCATAGAGGTGCCAGCCAACCCATAGGGGCACCTGCATGGTGCCGTAGGGTGGGGGACTCAAGATGAGCCCTTTACTTGCTTGGCAAGGATGGGGTCCCCAATTTTGAATGTGTGTGCTTGCATGCTTGAACTCGGGACACTGTTCTTTAGCTCTGTTCACTCAAGGCTGACACTCTATCACTTGAGCCACAGCTCGACTTCTGGCCTTTTGGTGGTTCATTGGAGATAAAGAGTCTTTGGGACTTTCCTGCCCTGAATTGGGAATCCTCAGATCTCAGCCTCCTAAGTAGCTAGGAATACAGGCGTGAGCCACTGGCTTGACTTTTCTTGTAGAATTTTGGTGTTGTTTTTTCATTGTTACCTCTCTAGATTTCATGGCACAGTCAGGGAGGAGGGGAAGGGTAACCTCCTTCACCCCTTCCCTCCCCCACCTTCCTCTTCACAGTGCCCTAAAGTGGGGCGGGGGTGGGGCATGGAGCACTTAGCCTGTGTTCACACAGCTGTCTCAGGCTCTGTGCGGCTGCAGGGCTGCAGTGAGGGGAACAGGTCTGAATCAGGGACCTGCTGTGGGGTGGGGCACCCCCGGGGTGCTCCCTGCTTCTCTGGGATGGTGCCCATCTTGCAAGGTCACGGGGGGGGGGGGGGTCAAATGGATCTGGGGCGGGGGTGACCGCGGCCTCCCCGCCGGGCCCTTTGCAGATGGTGGTTCTCATGGACCCCTTGGAGGACCCCGACGACATCCTGCGGGCGCACCGCTCCAGGGAGAAGTCTTACCTGTTCGACGTGGCCTTCGACTTCACCGCCACCCAGGTGAGGGTGCACCGGAGCCCCTTCCCGCCCCTCACCACTTGAGAGGGGCCCTCAGGGGACCTAGTCCCTGACCCTCACAGGTCCTCCCCACTTGCTCAAGGGTCCACCTTCTGGAGCTTTCCCCATCTGTGAATGTCCGTACACACCTGTGTGATGTTCACCTGTCCATATATGCACCTGATAGACACTAACCTCCGTGCCTGCACACCTACACACTTGCTCAGTGCACACAGGCACCCGCACGCTGCACACCTGGCCTTCCACGAGCATGCTTGGGTGAACACCCGCACCCACCCTGCACAGGTGGTCTCTTCGAACCCCCCACGGTTGGGCTACATGGGGTGGGGCAGGGGGAGCAGGAGGAGGGAGCCGAAGGCCATCTGTTGCAGGCTGGGCAGATGGAGGATTGTCTCCAGGAAGCCGACACCCTCCTAGGGACCCCTACACCCTCCTAGGGACCCCATCTCACTATCTTCCGGATGTTCCTCCTGGGAGCAGATACTCTGTGTCCTCCGAGCCAGGGGCTGGGAGCCAGCTGTGGAAGGAGCCGGCTCAGGTGTCCTGAGCTCTGCTGCAGGCTGGCGTTCCTCCTCCCCCCCTGCCCCAAGGTGTAAGCAGAGACATCCCTTCCTCTCCTTCCCACCCCCTCCTCCCTCCCACATACCCCGGGGGCATCTGTGCTGTGCCCTGTCTGGGTCCCAGGCCCCTGACAAGGTTTCTTGTCCTTTGCAGGAGATGGTGTATCAGGCCACCACCAAGAGCCTCATCGATGGCGTCATTTCCGGCTACAATGCCACAGTGTTTGCCTATGGCCCTACAGGTGTGGGAGGGGCGTGAGCACACCCCTGGGGAGGCGAGCCCCCTCGCCCCACACCCCTGCAGAGACCGCCCAGGCCTGGCTAGGGCAGCAATCAGGATAGGACGCATCCAACCCCACCTAGGGCCCTCCATTCCAGGGACCCCATCTTCAGCCAGGGCTGTAATCCTTCCTGCCCTGCCCCCTGCCTTCACCCCTTCACCTCCCTGGCCATCGGGGAGGGCCTCGCTCAAAGACAGACCAGGCTCACAAATTGTCTCTGCTCAGTGAGGTCTCACCCCTAGTCCCTGCTCTGCCCAGGCTGTGGGAAAACCTACACGATGCTGGGTACTGATCACGAGCCTGGTATCTATGTCCGGACACTCAACGACCTCTTCCGTGCCATTGAGGAAACCAGCAACGACATGGAATATGAGGTGTCTATGTCCTACTTAGAGGTGAGTACCCCCAGGCTTGGGTAAGAGACACACAGGACCAAGCTGCCCCACCTCCTAGAGCCAGTGACCAGCAGTTTCCTGGGGTGCCCATCACGGCAGCTCTCCCACCTCTGTATTATTAGCCCCACCTTATAAAACTTGAGGACCAAAGAGGTAACTTATTCACAATCAGTGGGAGGGGGTGGGATTCGAACTCGGGACCCTGTGACTCCAAAACCAGGTCTACCCCCATTGTGCCACACTCCCCAGCAGCCTTGTCAGTGAACAGAGTTCAGACACACTCCCTGACTGTTCCCTTCCTCACCACTGTACCAGGAGGCTGGCCTCCATCTGGCAGCTTCTGCTGGTGACAGCTCAGGAGGGGTGGTGAAGGTAGCTGCCAGCAGGTGTGGAATCAGCCAGCTAGGCTCACCTTGTTGGACAGCGCCCAGAGGTGGCTGATGGTTGCCTGGCAACAAGCAGGGCTCCCTGATCTACTAGGATAGCCTGGCCCTTGGTCAGGTCCATGCAGTCCTGCTTGGCTCTGAGTCTGCCTGCAATGTTGGTTGGCGCTGAGACCCAGCTGCCTGTGGGTGCTGAATCACCTACATTCAGTTCACCATAGGAAGGCAGGGAAACTTCCCAGGCCAGAGACTCACAGGAGCCTGGGGCCAGAAAGTGGGAGCTTCCTGTCCCCTCCTTGTCTGGGAGTCATGCCCTTAGATTCCCTCCTCAGGTCTCTTCCTCACCTGTCCCACCAGATCTATAATGAGATGATCCGGGACTTGCTGAACCCCTCCCTGGGGTACCTGGAGCTGAGGGAGGACTCCAAAGGTGTGATCCAGGTGGCTGGAATCACTGAGGTGTCCACCATCAATGCCAAAGAGGTGAGTCTCGTGTGGCCAGACTGGGGCCACGAGGAAGGTGCCCGAGAGAGCACAGGGCAGGAGCGCGGAGATGGAGCTGGGCTGGGCCCCACACAGTGTTGCGTGGCAGCAAGATGCACGCTCACTCTCCTCCGCCATCAGGTCCCAACCACCCCGTCCTGGGGAGTGACAAAGTCACAGGGCCTCACACAGCCTCTCAGAGGCAGGACCTCCCCCGCCAGGCCTCCTCTCTGCAGGCATCTCAGGGGCTCTGCTGGGAACTGCCTCTCTCTCATTCCCTCCTTCGCTCCCTTCCTCCCAGATCATGCAGCTGCTGATGAAGGGGAACCGGCAGAGGACCCAGGAGCCCACGGCCGCCAACCAGACGTCCTCCCGCTCCCACGCCGTGCTGCAGGTGGCCGTGCGCCAGCGCAGCCGTATCAAGAACATCCTGCAGGAAGTGAGACAGGGCCGGCTCTTCATGATTGACCTGGCGGGCTCCGAGCGAGCCTCCCAGGTAAGGCCGGCTCTTGGAGTCTGGAGAAGAGGCTATCTGGATGGTGGGGGGGTGCAGTCCAGAGCACCCCAGAGAAGTAGACAGAGGAGTGAATCCCTCAGGGTGAAGGACTGAAGAAAGTTCCAGAAAGTTCAGGATGGGCCCAGGCAACCTGAAGAGCCAAAGGACTATTGTTGGGGTGGGGCAGGGGTGAGGTAGGATGACAAAGAACAAAAACAAGCACCTGACACCTGACTCAGCAGAACATGGAGGGACCTGGAAGAGGGCCTAGCACATCAAGGACATCACTTATGACACCCAATGTCGCTGTCCTTATCACTCAGCCAAGTTGGCTTGCCTGACTCAGTGGCCCAGCCCCTCTGGCAGGACAGCTTGGGGTGTCAGGGTCACCTGGGCAGGGGCGCTGGGTGATGTCACCATAGCAAAACTGAAGCCAAGATAAGAGAGAAAAGCCAGGCATCATTGATGGCTTACACCTGGAATTATGGCCACCCAGGAGGCTGAGATCTGAGAATCACAGTTCAAAGCTAGCCTGGAAAGCATGAGACTTACCTCCACTGAAATACAAAAAAAGCCAGAAGTAGAGCTACGGCTCAAGTGACAGAGCACTATCCTTGAGCAAAAAAAACTCAGGGAAGCCAGGCACTAGTGGCTCAGGCCTGTAATCCTAGCTACTCTGGAGGCTGAGATCTGAGCATTTCGGTTCAAAGCCAGCCCAGGCAGGAAAGTCCGTGAGACTCTTATCTCCAATAAACCATTAGAAAACTGGAAGTGGCGCTGTGGCTCAAGTGGTAGAGAGCTCACCTTGAGCTGAAGAGCTGAGGGACAGCGCCCAAGCCCAGAGTTCAGGCCCCACGACTGACAAAAAAAGAAAAAGAAGAAGAAGAAGCAGGTTAGGGATAGTGCCCAGGCCCTGAGTTCAAACCCCAGGACTGGCGGGGAAAGAAAGAAAGAAGGAAGGAAGGAAAGAAAGAGAAAGAGAGAGAGGAAGGAAAGAAGGAAGGAAGGAAGGGAGGGAGGGAGGGAGGGTGTGAGGGAAAGAAGGAAGGAAGGAAGAGAGAGGGAGGGAGGGAAGAAGGAGGAAGGAAGGAAGGAAGGAAAGAAAGAAACAGGCTCACAGCCTTGTCTGAACACACAAGGCTGGATTGCAACAAGGTGGGCGTTCACAAATTCATCCCTGAGTTCCAGAAAAGCCTCCAGGCCTCCTTAAGGGGACATGGGGAGCAGCCTGGAGGAAAGGGGTACCCTCTGGTAACTGGAGCTGTCTAATGCCAGCTCTGCCGGGATGGGCAGCAATGGCTCCCCTGTGCCATGAGGAGAGGAGCCCGCCCCTGCATCACGCACCCGTGCGTGTGTGCATGCACACACGGCCCTCCTAGCTCTGTGACGCTCCTGGTGCCTTTTAAGGCCTGGGGTCACACTAAGTGGCCCAGGAGGCCATCTTGTGGCCTGCCATTCAGGACACTATGGGACAAGTCTGGCCACTGCCATAGTGCCTGCCCCAAGGGAACAGAACCAGCTTGGCTCGGCATTCTCCAGAGTCCTCAGTCTAGAAGCTTCCTGGTCATACCTTTCCTCGTGCACCCCTAGGAGGAGGTGGCAGGACCAAGCCATCTGGTGACCTGTGCTCCCTACATTTCCAGAGCGTACCCACTCCCCCCCCCAGGTTGGGGTGTGTATCTAGGATCAGCAGGGTGCTGATGGGTGGCTGATGGATGGAGCCTCCGCCTTGGGCCCTCACAAGGCCACAGTTTTATCCTCTACCTCCCCCTCTCCCCCCCTCAGACCCAGAACCGGGGACAGCGCATGAAGGAGGGAGCTCACATCAACCGCTCCCTGCTCGCGTTGGGCAACTGCATCAATGCGCTGAGCGACAAGGGCAGCAACAAGTACATCAACTACCGCGACAGCAAGCTCACCCGGCTCCTGAAGGTACCAGGGTCCCCTGAGCTCTGTGTCCTGCCTTCACCTCCCACAAACCTTTTAAGTTTGCTTTTGTGCTGGGACTTGAACTTAAGGCCTCACACTCCCATTTGGACTTTTCACTCAGAGCTGGCACTCTACCACTCAAGCCACAGAGCTACTTCTGCCTTTTATTTATTTATTTGCCAGCCCTGGGGCTTGAACTCAGGGTCTGGACACTGTCCCTAAGCTTCTTTTGCTCAAGGTTAGCGCTCTACCACGTGAGCCACTTCCAGCTTTTTCTGTTTATGTGGTACTGAGGAATTGAACCCAGGGCTTCATGCATGCTAGGCAAGCACTGTACCACAAAGCTACATTCCCAGCCTCATCTTTTCTTTTCAGGTTAACTGGAAATAAGAATCTTACAAATGTTGGGCTGGGAAAGTGGCTCAGTGGTAGAGTGCTTGCCTTGCATTCCTGAGGCCCTGGGTTCGATTCCTCAGCACCACATAAGCAAAAAGAAAAAAGCCGGAAGTGGTGCTGTGGCTCAAGTGGTAGAGTGCTAGCCTTGAGCTGAAGAGCTGAGGGACAGCGCCCAGGCCCAGAGTTCAGGCCTCACGACCGGACCCAAAAAAAGAATCTTACAAATGTTTCTGTCTGGCTGGCTTTGAGCCTCCTGAGTAGCTAAGATTACAGGCATGTACCACCAGCGCCTGGTCCCACAAACTCTTTAGTCTTGTCTGTGGCTTTGTGAGTTAGGGAGAGTTACTTGTGCTGCTAGGGAAATTGAGGCCTGGAAAGGCCAAGGAATTTTCTCCAAGGGTTGGTACTAGTCAGTGCTGGAAATAGGTATATGGTCCCCACAGACCCTTCTGTCAGCTTGCCACCACAACTATACCCACAAGGTAGGTGGGGATTCAAGAAGGCTGAGGGGGCTGGGAATGTGGCTTAGTGGTAGAGTGCTTGCCTAGCATGCATGAAATCCTGGGTTCAATTCCTCAGTACCACATACACAGAAAAGGCCAGAAGTGGCTCAAGTGGAAGAGCACTAGCCTTGAGCAAAAGAAGCTCAGGGACAGTGCTCAGGCCCTGAGTTCAAGCCCCAGGACTGGCAAAAAAGAAAAAAAAGAAGGCTGAGGGTTAGTGGCGGAGAAGCAGTAGAGTCTCCCCATTATGCTCAGCAGCCAGGCTTTTTGTATGGAAGGGGGGAGGGAGAAAGGAGAAGGGAGGGGGAGGGGGAGAGGGCACACATACAGACTGGCAGGAGGAGGCTCTGGGGGAGGGGCCTCCACTGACCACCACCCCCCCGCCCCGCCACCTCCATCCAGGACTCCTTGGGGGGGAACAGCCGCACGGTGATGATTGCCCATATCAGCCCAGCCAGCACCGCCTTCGAGGAGTCTCGGAACACCCTGACCTATGCTGGCCGGGCCAAGAACATTAAGACCAGGGTGAGGGTCCCTAGACTGCCCCCCCCCAGAACACACCCCTGGACCACGATTTGAACCACTTGGACTGACCCCTACCACCTCCACCCTTGGTGGAGCCAGCCACCACTGCACCTCCTTATTAACCCGGAAGTCCTCCGCTGGCTCCCAGGTCGCTCTTCTTCTCATTCCCCAGTCCCCCTACCTTCTTCTTCCTCTTCAGAGGCTAATTCTGGACTCTAGGCCTCTAGGTGGTCGGTCAGACCACCTAGGTATTTGTGTTACCCACGGGGTGAGGGGGGGCTTTCCTGAACCCCAACTCTCAGCTATCTAATACACAGATCTCCTCCCAGTCCCAAACCAAGCAGGGCCAGGTGCTGGTAGTTGACCTCCTGTAGTCCTAGCTACTCAGGAGGCTGAGCTCTGAGGATTGGGGTTCAAAGCCAGCCCAGGCAGGACAGTCTATGAGACTCTTATCACCAATTAGTCAACAAAACCCAAAAAGCAAAATGGAGTTGTGGCTCAAATGGTAGAGCACTAGCTTTGAGCAAAAAAGCTAAGGGACAGGGCCTAGGCCCTGTGCCAGTACCAACACACACACACACACACACACACACACACACACACACACACACACACACACCCCAGGTGTTCGCATCCCTGCCATGACAACAGAGGACAGTGCGGATTCAGACTGTGAGTAACTGCCCAACACATGATGGAGCAGAGACGGGCGCTGGGCCTGGATGGTTTTCAAGTTCACGTCCTCTGGTAGAACCTGCGGGGCCCCTGCTGCCTGGTGCACCTGCCTCGGCTCCTGTGTTGGTAGAGGGGGGATGGCTAAGCAAGTAGCATCTGCCCAAGAGTGCCCTGGGTGCTTGAAGTTGCTACCTCCAGAGCTTTGGGGGAGGGGGCGGAGGATGGTGGAAAGGGAGACGCCTTCTGAGTAGTTCATTTGTTAGTTCAGATCATTGTCAGTGGCCAGTACATGCCAATAGCAGCTGCTGAGACCAGCTGGGGAAGGGGATGGAGGAACTGGTGCCCCTCCCTCTCCCCCACTCCCACAGGAGGGGAAGGAGCACTTCAGGAAGATCCAATCTAGCTGAGCCATGTCATGTGACAGCAGGCCATGGGTTTGGGTCCACAAATGCTGCTACTGTCACCCAGGAAGGCTGGAGGGGTGGGGGGGGGGGAGGACAGGAAGGTTTAGCAGGTAAGCAGGTGGAGGCAGAGCTGTCCCTTGCTCCCCCATCCCGTGCTCCCCGCAGGTGAAGCAGAACCTGTTCAACGTCTCCTACCACATCGCCCAGTACACCAGCATCATCGCCGACCTGCGGGGTGAGATCCAGAGGCTCAAGTGCAAGATGGACCAGCAGGCGGGGCGGGGCCAGGCCCGAGGGCGGCTGGAGCGGCCTGACAGCCAGCATGCTCGAGGTGCGCACGTGAGCAGTTCTGTGGGAGCCTGTCTCCGCAGCGCCCCCTCCTGGAGCTGCTTCCCCTCATTGAACTTCCCTGAGCCAGCCTTCAAGCTCTGTGCCTTGCTTCCTAAAGGCAGAGGTTGCTGGGCGCCAGAGGCTCACGCCTGTAATTCTAGCTACTCAGGAGGCTGAGATCGGAGAATCATGGTTCAAAGCAGGCCAGGGGCAGGAAAGACCATGAGATTCTTATCTCCAATGAACCACCAGAAAACTGGAAGTGGTGCGCTAGCCCTGAGCTGAAGAGCTGAGGGACAGCGCCCAGGCCCACAGTTCAAGACCCACGACCAAAAAAACACAAAAAACAAGGCAGAGGCTAGCCCACAGGAGTGAGGGAGCCTGTAAGACTGGAGGCCCAACTCCTCAGATAGGTGGGTTCTGCTATGATGTGGGGGCAGCTTTTTATAGTTGTGAGTTCATGGTGTCCCCGTTCACACAGAGGAACTGAGCGTCAACTTTGTGTGTAGCCCTAGGCTAAACTGTGGGAGTGGGGCATGGGAAGAGAGCGTAATCTAGGAGGTCTTCCTGGAGGAAGTGGCTGGAAAGGCAGTTGGGAGTCGTGGCTGGCTTGGAAAGAAAGTTGGGAGAGGATCTCAGTGGGCTTGAGCCAGCCACCACTGCTGCCCTTGCGCCCTCCACAGCCGAGGTTCAGCTGCACGGCCGGCAGGGAGAGCAGGCCGAGCTGGAGCAGGTCCGCGAGCAGCTCGTCAGCACCTTCCAAGAGCAGATGGACCTGCGCCGGCGCCTGCTGGAGCTGGAGAACCATGGCATGGAGGTCCAGATCGACACTTCCTGCCACCTGCTCACCATTGCTGGGTGTGCACCCCTGCCCGGGGACCCTCCCGGCCTGCAGGGATTGGGGATGGAGTTGCTGGGGACCTGGGTGATGCCCTGCCCTTTCCTGGGGCCTGAAGCCCTCGTCTCCTGTCTCCCCGGGGGTGGGCCCCCGACAGCTGGGAGCATGAGAAGTCACGCAGGGCCCTCAAGTGGCGGGAGGAGCGGAGGAAGGAGTCCTACTCGAAGGATGACAGTGAGAAGGACTCGGACACAGGTGACGACCAGCCAGACACCCTGGAGCCGCCCGAGGTGGCCGCCGCCCGGGACAGCATCGCCGCCCTGGTGGGGGAACAGAGGAAGCTGCGCAAGGAGAAGGTGCCCAGGGCTTGGGGTGGGCCAGGGGTGGTGGGTCCTAGAGAAGGTGGAGGGGCTGGCGGCTCAGGCCACCAGTCCTTGGTGATCTTGCTAAGTTCCTGCACCTCTCTGAGCCTCAGTTTCCCCACCTGTAAAGCGGGAGATGTCCTGGTGTTGTCCTCACAAGTCACTGGAGATATTAATGCTTGCCCCAATCCAAAGATCCCAGACAGGGCGCCCAATAGAATCACCGGAGCTTTCTGGGCCACTGGTCATTACCTTCTAGGATGGGGCATATCCAAACGGGAGCAGGGTGCTTCAGAGTAGCCCTGAGGGCATCACAGGGCTAGGGTGAAACAGATACCCACGAAGCCCATTCCAGGGTAGGTAGTGGCCAGAACAGCAAGAAACAGCACAGGCTGGGTGCCAGTGCTCCTAGGAAGGGAGGAGGAAGGGAAAAGAGAGGAAGGAAAGAGGAAGGAAGGGTGGGAGGGAAGGAAGGAAGGAAGGAAGGAAGGAAGGAAGGAAGGAAGGAAGGAAGGAAGGAAAGAAGGAAGGAAAGAAGGAAGGAAGGGAGGGAGGGAGGGAGGGAGGGAGGGAGGGAGGGAGGGAGGGAGGGAGGGAGGGAAAAGATAGGAAGGAAAGAGAAAAGTAGGGAGGAAGGGAAGGACAGAGGAAGAGAAAGGAAGGGCAGGAGGGAGGGAAGGAAGGTGGAAGGGGGAGGGAGGGAGGAAGGGAAGGAAGGAAGAGAAAAGAGGAAGGAAGGAAAGAGAAAGGGAGGAAGGGAAGGAGGGGGAAGAGAAAGGAAGGGAGGGTGGGCAGGATAGATGGATGGATGGATGGATGGATGGATGGATGGATGGATGGATGGACGGACGGACGGACGGACGGACGGACGGACGGACGGATGGATGGATGGATGGATGGATGGATGGATGGATAGGCCACCTTGGAGCTGCCCTGGTTGCAGGGCACCGGCTCTCGGAGCCTAGGGGCTGGGGAGGCTGCGGGCGGGCGCGGGCGGGCGCGGGCGGGCACGGGCCGGCACGGGCGGGCGGGCACGGGCGGGCCTGCCAGGCGCTGAGCCCCGTCTGCGCGCGCAGCTGGCCCTGGAGCAGCGCTGCCGGGAGCTGCGCGCGCGGGGCCGGCGCCTGGAGGAGACGCTGCCGCGGCGCCTGGGCTCGGAGGAGCAGCGCCAGGTGCTCGGCCTGCTGTGCCGCGTGCACGAGCTGGAGGTGGAGGTCACCGAGATGCAGTCGCACGCGCTGCTCCGAGACGGCGCCTGGCGCCACCGCCGCGAAGCCGTGCGCCGCCTGGAGCAGCACCGGAGCCTCTGCGAGGAGATCATCCAGGGCCAGCGGCAGATCATCGAGGGTAGGACCCGCGCCCCGGACGGGGGGCACGGAGTGGGGCAGGGGGGGAGGGCGAGGCGATCCCAGGCCCGCGCTGAGCCCTCCCCGCGCCCCTCCCGCAGACTACAACCTGGCGGTACCCCCGCACCTGGAGGCCCTCTATGAAGTGTACCTGCGCGAGCTGGAGGACGGCAGCCTCGAGCGGGCCGCCATCGTGGACCGCGTGGCCTCCAGGGCCCTGCAGGTGGGCGCCGGGGCAGGCCCAGACACCCGCGCTGTGCCCACGGAAGGGCCCCCACGCAAGGCACAGCCTGCCTGCAGGTGGCTGCTGCCACCCTGGACCAAGCTGGTTCCCTTGGAACCCCAGGGAGCTGATTCCAGCCCCTCCTTGCCACGCCCTAAACCATGCCACGCCCAGCAAGGTGTCCCACCCGCACCCCCACACTCCTCTCAAAACACTTGGCTCTGTCTGTCCAAGATCAGAGGGTTCAGGGGAGGCCGTCTGAGAAGGCCCCTCACCAGCTCAGCGGAGCGTGCCTGTAATCTCAGCACTTGGAAGGCTGAAGCAAGAGACATGCAAGTTCAAGGCTAGCCTGAGTTATCCTGTTTATTTTTGTGCCCTGCTGGGGCTTGAACTCAGGGCCTCAGTGCTGTCCTTGAGTGTTTTCAGGGCGGACACTCAACCACCTTTTGACTGGTTAATTGGAGGTAAGCATCTCATGGACGTTCCCACCCAGGCTGGCTTTGAACTGGGTCCTCAGATCTCAGCCTCCTGAGTAGCTAGGATTACAGGCCTGAGCCACCAGCACCCAGCAACCTTGTTTTAACTGGATAAATAGAATACCAAGAAAACAATGGCCCCAGGTCATTGTTACCCCATGTGGGTGCTGTTATGGGCTCCAGGATCAAGTCTTCTGACTCCCCCTCTCCCCCTCCCCCCAGGACAGTTCTTTGCCCAAAATTACCCCAGCAGGAGCTACACTGACCCCAGACTCTGATCTGGAGAGCGTAAAGACAATAAGCTCCGAAGCCCAGCGCCCACAGAACAGCACCCTCCCACCTCTCTGCACGGACAGGTGAGCCAATTCCTGCTGGGCCCTGACCTGGGATTGCCAGTCCAGATACCGGCCAGGCAGGAAGGCTGGAGCCAGGACAGGGAGAGGGTGGCTGGGGGGCTAGAGAAGGATTCTTTGGTACGCTCTCTGGTGGCTCCCTCTGCTGGTGGTGGCAGGGAACCTCAGCGTGACCAGTCTGGTCAACAGCCCTCCTTCCTCCCTGCCATCCTCAGTGAAGCCCACCACATATTCAAGGCCAATTCTCGAGCCTGGCAGGTGAAAGGCTATTCTGTGCCCACCCCACCACCCATCCAGATTGGCAGCCTAGTGGCCCAGGAGGTGAGCTCTGGATACCACCTGGGGCTGGGCAGTCACCCAGCATTTGGGATGAACCCTGTCCCATCTTTGTTGACTGGGGTGCAGGGATCCTTGCTGTGTTCAAGCCCTTCTTCTTCCCAAATACTACACTCCAGCCCCCTCTGGACAGCCTGGGCAGCCGGATCAACTCTTCTCCAGATAGCAGCGAGAATCTGTCGGAGATTCCCTTATCCCACAAAGGTACAAGTGCGCACCTGCCTGATCTAAAGGCTCAGATCAGTCCAGCCAAAGCCCTTTTCTGCCCTGAGCCTGGCTGAATGCACAAGTGTCCCGAATACTTTCTAACCTAGAGAGCCATCAGCGCCCCCAGAGGACTGGCTGTGTATCAGCAGTTAGTATCTGCACCTGCTCAAGGGCAGAGATGGGGTTACAATCAGAAATCACATTGGAAGCATCTGACTGGTTGCTGGTGGCTCACACCTGTAATCCTAGCTACTCAGGAAGTTGAAACTTGAGAATCAAGGTTCAAAGCCAGCTCATGCAGGAAAGTCTGTGTGACTCTTATTTCCAATTAACCACTAAAAAAAGATCAAAAGCAGAGTTGTGGCTTAAGTGGTAGTATTGCTAGCTTTGAGAAGAATGAAAAACAACCCTCAGGGACAGCACCCAGTTCCCAAGTTCAAGCCCCAGGATCTGCACAAAAATAAATACATAAATAAAATAGAATGGAAGCACTTAGGGCCACACACCTCCTTCTACCGAGTAATTAATTGCAATAACAAATGTTAATTGAATCTTGCTCCCTGAGATAAGATTGACTAAACCCATTGGTCAGCCTTAATAACACCAGGGAATTAGTTGTGGCATCTTCAGTTTAGAGATGGAAGGTGACAGTGTGCCCCAAGTGGCAAGCAAGTAGGGGTGTTAGGGATGAAACCAAGGTGCCCTGGCTACTGCTTATTTCTGCCATGGTAAAGGAGGGGTGGTGGGAGATGGCCTTGATCTCCAAGTGAAACTCTTGTCTGCTGTAGAGAGGAAAGAGATCCTGTCCAACACCAAGTGCATCTCAGTGAAGGCTGCCGGCCGTCGCTCGCGGGCCCTGGGCGTAGAAGGGCGCCACCTGCTGGCACCTGCCACAGAGTGCAGCAGCCTGTCCCTGCACTCTCTGAGCGAGGCTGATGATGCCCGGCCACCAGGCCCACAAGCCTGCAAACGACCCCCCAGCCCCACGCTTCAGCATGCTGCCAGCGAGGACAACCTGTCCAGCAGCACAGGAGAGGCCCCTTCCAGGGCCAGAGGGCATCGAGGTGAAGGCCCTGGGCCCTGGCTGCGAGGCCAGAAGAAAAACCCGGGCAAGAAAAGGGAGGAGTCACTGGAGGCCAAAAGGAGGAAGCGGAGGTCCCTGTCTTTTGAGGTCACAGGCCATGGGGTAAGGCAAGGGGCAGAGGCGAGGTGTCTGGATCCCTTTCTTGTGGGTGGGGGGCCTGAGGGCCAGATTCCTCCAGAAGCCCCAGCGTACTTCAGCCTTGCACAACAGCAAGAAGCTCCACCTCAGCAGGGTGGCAGGGGCAGAGCTTGTAGTAGAGCCCTACACAGCTCTCAGCCTCACCTCCCTATTCTTCAACCACACAGCTCTCTCGCTCCAAGACGCATCTCCTCAGGGCCCGTCCCTTGGAGGACATCTTAGACCACAAGATGCCAGTGTGTGGGCACCCAGCCCCTGGTATCAGGCATCTGGGAAAAGTCACCATGCCTTTGGCCCAAGTCAAACTCTCTCCAAGCCAGAACCCAGGTTAGTACGAGCACGGGAGGCAGTGGGAAAGGAGAGGTCTTAGCCAGCCCAGGGAGGAGACCATGATTCTCTAGCATACTTGGAGGATCGGGCCCTCAGGGAGTTTGAGGCCACTGGGTGATGGGGGGTGGGGGGAATGGGCTGAGAGGCATTCCTGATCATGACCTTTCCCCTTTGCAGGATCTGGGGATGCTTCCTCCCTTGCTGGTCCCCCCAACCCAGCTGGCATTTCCCGGAGAGGAGCCGCTCGCGGGCCCAGCCTGCCCCATGGCTCAAGAAAAGATGGACACTTCCGGCATAACTGAGGGAACTTACAAGAACCAGCTACTGCCTCCCAGCCCCCGGGCAGAATGGGGCACAGCAGGAAATAGGGGAGGCTGTGAAGGCAGGAGCGCAGAGGCTGTGACTCCTAAGACTCAAGAGCTGTGAAGGTGTCAGCTCAGCCCTTCTGGGTTTTCAGTGTCAAGGGATAGGGAGGATGCTGGGGTGCCGGACCCCTGGCCTCCAGTCCTGGCCAGAACACGGTTGCCAAAACCCTGCACAAATGAGGGCATCTGCATGGGTGGGGAAGGGGCAGCCAGTATGGTGCCTCAAGGCAGCTGAAGGTTGGGAGTGAATCTAGTTTTGTTACGTGGTAGTGGCTTTTATTCACCTTCCTTTTTAACAATAAAGTCCCATTTGGGTTTTGACGGCTGTGTGGGAAACTAGACCTTGTCTGATGTGGGTGGGATATTTGGCTATTTACCCAGCTTATCCCTTCAGTCTTCATATGTGCCCAGGTCCTCCCAGGAGAGAGATAAGAGGCTTGGCTTGTACTGCAGAAAACCCCAGAGTGACTGTCCTGCGATGTCAGGGCTCAGAAACTGTCCAGCTCGACTCCTTAGCTTCAAGATGAGAAAACTGCCTGGCCCAGGGGCCATTTGGATGTTCTTGCTGATCTTGATGCATTCTGGGGACAGGCCTTAGGGAAGAGCTCAGTGAAGGGTGGAGGAACCTCAGACTGGTGGAACCCTTGGGAGGGTGGCTTTTTACCAGGGACTGGTGGCCCGATCATCCTGGCTTCTCTATGATCATTGGTTTAAGAGCACCCCCTTCAGGTTTAATAGGAAATGAGTGCCTGAGACCAGGCATCTGGTCTACCATGGCTCTACTGGATTTCCTGCTAGCGGCCATGGGCTGGTACTGACCGTCCCCCTCCCACCCCCGGGGGTGGGGACGAGGCGGGGAGATGACATAGGATGGTCGATAATTCCATGCTGTCATTTCCCCATCCCCAAGCCCTAATGCCACCTCGCCCAGGCCTTTATTTCCCAGTCCGGATGAGAGTGTGGTAGACGGGCTTGACAATGAGGTGCAGGTGCAGCGCGTTCTCCACCAGGAACTCGGAGTTGCGCCTCTGCAGGTCGGCGTGCGCCAGGAAGTCGCCGGCCTCCTCGCTACTCTGATGGAAACTGTAGGTGTGGCGGACGAGCAGGCGCCCCTGCTGGCGCGCCCCGACCAGCACGGTCTTCTGGAAGCTCACGCCGGCCGCGTCGCCGCCGCTGCTGGCCGGGGTGACCACGAGGCGCGGCCGGCCGTCCTCGGGGCGCGCGGCGGGCAGCGCGGTGCCCGCGGCGTCGGCGTAGACGGGCCGCAGGCTGACGGGCAGCCAGCGCGGGGAGAAGAGCACGTTCCAGGTGATGCGGCGGCCGGCGTCGTGGCCGCTGGGCCCCAGCTGCGTCTGGAAGCTGGTGCTGCGATCGTCCCGGGCCGGGTTGTTGATGACCCACGGGGCGCCCCAGGCGGGCGAGAGGTAATTGCGGGGCAGGAAGGCGCTGCCGTTGACGTCGAAGAACTTGGCATAGTGCAGGGGCGAGGCGGCGTGGAACTGGTAGGCCTGCAGCAGGAGGTCGGCCACGGCGGGCCCGTGGCGCGCCAGCGCGGCCGAGCGCGCCTGCAGCTGGAACAGCTGGGCGGGCGGGATCATGGGGTAGCGGATGGCGCGCAGCGCGCGCTCGGCCACGGCGGCCGGCGGCCGCGCGCGCCCCAGCCAGGCCTCCAGCGCCTGGAACAGCTCCAGCTCGTCCTGCAGCACCAGGTCCGAGCGCGGCAGCAGCGCCGCCAGCAGCTCGGGGCTCACGGCGCCCCACTCGGCGCTCCCCGCCACGGCCGACAGGTTCCAGGCCAGGAACTGCAGGCAGCTCTCCCGCAGGGCCTCGTCCCCCGTGCTCACCGCGTAGTGGTACCAGCCCACCGCCGGGCCCGCGCCCCCCGCCAGGTGCGCGCGCATGTAGTCGGCCACGCCCCGCTGCAGCGACGACACCCCGTACTTGGTGGCCAGCCGGTGCAGCGGGATGGCCTGCGCCAGCAGCACCACCAGCTCCCCGCAGTACAGGTACCTGCCAGAGAAAGGGGCGGGGGGACGGTTAGGATGAAGTCACTGTACCCCCCTCTAGTTTCTCTCTCTCCTCTCCCTCTCTACCCCAACCCCTCCCAATCTCTCTCCCTTTCTTCTCTCTAAGTGCAGATATGCCAGTCCTGGGGCTCTCAGGCTCTTCCTGTGCTCTACCTCTTGAGCCACAGCTCCACCTCCAGCCTTTTGCTCATTAACTGGAGATAAGAGTCTCATGGGTTTTCCTTTCTGGGCTGGTTTCAAACCCAGATGGTGAGATCTCAGCCTCCTGCGTAATTAGGATTACAGGTGAGCCACCAGCTCCATCTTTCCTTCCTGAGGAGGCCCTGCCTGGCTGTTTCTACTTCACAGGATCTCTTCTTCTGGTTAATGGGAGTGGTGTGGAAGTCACCCTTCCTGCCAATGGGTGCCCTACCTGGCTCTGGGAGCCCTTCTGTATGCTCCCCCTTCCTGCTGCCTGGGATTTGGAAGTGATATCTAGAACTCTGCAGCCATCTTGCCCCATTAGAATGAGGCTACCTTCTTAGACTGCAGTGTATCTCTTCCTTACTAAGCACATTGGCAGGAAGAATGGAAGTGAGGAAGAGAACCAGTTAACCTTTCGGCTCCCTATCCCTAGGAGGCCTTAAAATCAAAATAGATTCCTCCCAACTCCTAGATCTGAGGTCAATCACCCAGTGTGGGACCCTGGAATCTATAGAGCTCTATCTACAAGCTCTCCTGGTCAAGTTTGAAAACACAGAAGCCATCTGGCTTCAGATGCTGGTGGCTCATGCTATAATCCTAGCTACTCAGGAAGTGGAGATCTAAGAATCAAGGTGTGACACTACTCAGGGCAGGAAATTTCTAAGAATCTTTTCTTTTCTCACTAAGCTAAGGGACAGCAGTGCTCAGACTCTGAGTTCAAGCCTCAGTACCAGCAAAGAAAGAAAGGAAAGAAAGAGGAAGGAAGGAAAAAAGGGAGAGAAGACAAAGAAGAGGAGGAAGAGGAAGAAGGAAGGAAGAGGAAGAAGGAAGGAGGAGGAAGAGGAAGAAGGAAGGAGGAGGAAGAGGAAGAAGAGGAGGAGGAGGAAGAAGAAGAAGAAAGAAGACACTATGGAGCATGTTGCAGGTGTGGAGAGCAACACGGACCCACACAGTGTACAGGCCAGGGCAGGGATTACCCTCACAGAGTTATGTGGACATAACGAGCACCAAGGCCCAGGCTTCTTCCCTCGGCTCACCTGATGAACTTGTCAAAGACGGCGGCACAGTCTCGGGGCTCCTGCAGCACCACCTCGCTCTGGTTGCTCAGCAGCTCCTGGAACAGCTCGCTATGCAAGCCCAGCAGTAGGCGGTGGGCATGGAAGACGCGGACCTCGTCAGTGCCCGCGGCCTGCACGCGCAGAGTCACGTCGCTGGCATTGCCCTGCCGCAACAGCTCCTGCATGCGCTGGAGCAGCACCTGCGAGTGGTTGATGGAGGTGGCCGCTGCCTCCCCGCCCATGTCTGCTCTCTGGGCTGCAGCAGGAAGGAACAGCGCAGGCTGAGAAAGCACTTGAGCCAGGGCCCCAATCTAAGGATGCAGGGCAATCTGCAGGAGGGAGCCCTGAATACATGGAACATCTGAGATCCTCAGATCTCAGCCTCCTGAGTAGCTGGGATTGCATGAGGGGGCTGTGTGTGCACACCTGTTTTGCCAGTGAGGCCCATGCATGCCCATAGACATATTGTAGATGGACAGGTCATGGCTGTGAGCACCTGAGAGGATGTCCTAGAAAAGGAGTGTCCCAGACAGGGACATGGGCCAGAAGAAGACATGGGCCAGCTATGCTCCCCATGGAATGGCGACCACAATACCAAAACCACCCCCCTCAGACAAGGGTTGAAGAAATCCTTATTCCCCTGCTTCGCTCATTGGCAAACAGTCTCCTACCCAGCCCCTCAAGAAATCTGTGTCTGCACTAGCAAATACTTATAGGGCACCTCACCAAACCTAAGTGCTTGTTCTTGGAATATGACAGTGACCCAAGCAAACCTAGTATTTACTCTCCCCAAAGCATGAAAGAGCATAACAGATGCATAGTAAGCATGCAGAGGAGCCCACCTTTCTCCACAATCTGAACAAGGGGTGAGGGGTTGAGATGGGTTTGGGGATAGAGACGGGGCTAGAGGGGCTCTTCACTCACTCACTGAAGCAGCTGCTGTGTTTCACTCTCCAGCCTCCCCTGATTTATTTGTGTGTGTGTGTACATGAGGACCCAGCACCACGAAGGGCCTTGATGAGGGTGGATTTGTAGCAGTCAGGATCAGGGAGGAGAGCAGGAGGCAGGGAAGTAAGCTGTTTTCCAGGCCCTGCCCCCTTGGGTTCTCGATCTGTGAGACAGATCAGAGACAGCCCCAAAAGTGAGCAGGTGCTGGAGTAGCTGAGCATCGAGGCTGGCATCCGCTTTCCAGGCTGGCCAGGCAGTCCACCTTTCATGCTTCCAAGGAGGCCATGGATGGCCAGAGGAGAATGCACACTCAGTTACAGAAAACCCATTCATAGAAAATGGTAGACAGCGCCCCCTAGTGGAAGGTGGTGCAGGCCTCCGGCAGAGGGAGCAAGGAGGTTGTCTGTGTCTGAGGGTGGCAGATGGACACCCGCCTGTCTCACACATGAACGCGTGCATGAGCGCACGTGCGTGCACGCACACACACACACAGAGGATGTGTGGAGGGAAGGCCCACACAATAGCGAGGCAGGGAGGCCCAGGGAAAAAAAGAAAGAAGGCGGGTCGTGGATTTCCCAGCACCGCCTCCCCAGCTGTCCCTTTGAAAGCCTGCATGCTGATGGCGTCCCCATTAGGCCTGGGCCCAGTTGCCTCAGACAATAGACAATGGAGGAGTCTTCTTGTAGTTGAAGACCCCTGCCTGCCGCTCAGCCCCCTTCCTCCTCCCCCCAGAGACAGCCTGCCCTCCTCCTTTCTGGAAAAGGTGTCGGAAAGCTAAGGGAACCACTAAGGTGCTCTCCAGGGCTGGTTGGACAGCGCCCTCTCCTGGTCATGTATAGCTCTACCCACTGCTGCCCCCTGCTCTCTGCCTCCTGCCCTGCCAACCTACCCACCACTGCCCACTCACCTGCACGAGTGGCCAGGCCCACCAAGGTCAGGATGGCCCAGAAGCTGCCCCAGGACCCAGGCTTGCAGTGGTCTATCCTAAGCATCGTTGTGTTCTGGCCCCCCCCTTAGCCCACCAGAGGGACAGTGACGCTAAGCCACATGGGTCCCATCCCATCCCTCCTCCTTATATAGGATCCAGCACAGGGACAGCTCCCCCTTCCTGCTCAGCCTCCCTCCCCCCCCCCAGCCTCTGCTGTGGATTGGTGGAAGCTGGCCCCTGCTGTTGCCTAGGCAACCACTTAAGCCAGAGAGTGGCAGCCCCAGGGGCTATTGTGCTGCCCTGGGCCCCCAAGGGGAGCAGATCCGGCACCCTCCTCCCCTGACTCTCCTTAGGAGACCCAGCAAGGCTAGTTCTTCCTCTCCTGGGAAGTTTTAGGCTCTCTGAAGGACAAACTTAAAAGCTCCAAGATCACTGGAAATCACAGGCCCCAGGGTCCCTAGGCCCCTCTCCCAGCCCCCCAGGCCAGGCGTCAGCCCTGGCACAGAACACACTTGGCAGTGTCCACGGTGAGCCAGCTGCAAAGGAAGGGCCTGGAAGAAGCAAGGAAGAGATGGCTCCAACTCCCATCCCTCCCCCACTTCCATTTTGGGGTGAGCTGGCTGTCCAGAGAAGAGGATAAGGATCTTGAATAGGACCCCACAGGGGGTAGCTGGGGTTATTTTGTGTCCTGTGTTGAAGGAAATTCCTAGCACGTTCTGGAGAGGGTAACAGACTTTTAGGAAAGCTCCACGGGGGCTATGACAACACACACACACACACACACACACACACACGCCCAACCCCTCAAGGTGAGCCCATGGTATGGACAGGCTACCTTCCAGGGCAGTTGGCCCTCACTATTGGTAGGCAGCCTGCCATCTTGCCTGAATCTAGGCAGGGACCTGAGCCTTTGAGGCTAAGCTCCCATTTGCCCTTCCGCTTCCTTCCTCTTTTTTCTTTTCTTTTCCTTCTTTTATTCTTGTGCTGGTCCTGGGGCTTGAACTTTTGCTCAAGGCTTGCACTCTGCCATATGAGCCACAGCTCCACTTCTGGCTTTTTGGTGTTTAATTGGAGAGAAGAGTCTCATGGACTTTCTTGCTTGGGCTGGCTTTGACCTCTGATCCTCAGCTCTGAGAAACTATGATTACAGGCATGAGCTACAGGCACCTGGCTGCTTCCTTCCTTGTTTACATCTATCTCTAGATGTGGCACCTGGTCTCTATCGATTCCCCTTCTTGGAATATTTCTGTCTAATTTCAACCTTTTTCCTTCCCAAAGTCCAAGGAGACATGCAGCAGACCTTGTACCCCAGTCTACCCATAGGGAAACTGAGGCAGGGTGCTAGGTTATAGCCTCAGTTGGGTGATGCAGAGGAGGGCTTCAGAAACAAAGACAATGGTGAGGCCTGGAATACAGTGGTAGGTGAGCAGCATGGGCACAGGTGGGTGCCATCCAGGCCTAGCTCTTACATGGAGGCACCTGGATTTTCTCCAGCCCCTTGTGGGAGAGGCGCCTTTAAGTCTGATGAGACCTGGCTCTGAGTTTCTCTGAGGCTGGATTGGGGGGTGGGGGGGTAGTGCCTTTTACATCTCAGGGCCCAGCTCAACAAATTGGTTTCTGCCCCTCTCTAGTGCACAGAGACCCAAACAGCCCCACCTCTCTGTGGAGCCTGGGGGAGGGAGGGAGGGAGGGATAAATTGGGTCTGGCACCAGCCTCTTCCGGTGGCAGAGCTAGAGCTGTCGGATCAGTGGCTTTGCCTCCCAGCTGACCCAACTCTCATGCCTGGTTCTCCCTCAGCCTCATCTACTACCCCTTGCCCACTGGCTGCACGCCTGCCCTTCCTGGGAGCCACACTGTGTCTCAACCCAGCAAGTCAGAGCCTCCGTGCAGCCGGATGGCCCGGGTTCCAGCACTGGTGCACCAAGTTCATCCAGAGGAGCGTGACCCGTCAGAGAACCCCTGGCACAGAAGATTTGTCTGGTGGTTGTATTTCTTCACTCCTCAAAACTACAAGGAGAGTTCTGCTTGACTTTGCTTCCCACCCTACCTGCCCACCACCCCCGTGAGGGTCTTTTCTGGGAACTATCTCCATTGGATAAGGTATCTCAAGAACTGTAAAAAGCAATTGGAAACTACCAAGCTTGGGGCAGAAGGAAGGATGCGCGCGCTCTCTCTCTTCCCCCTCCCTCCCCCTCCCTTCCCTATCCCCCTCCCTCCCCTTCTTCTCCCTCCTCTCTCTCCCCTCTCCTCTCTCCTCTCTCCATTGAGACTTGAATTTATGGCTTCATCCTTGCTTGTCTGATGCTCTCCCATTTGAGCCATGCCTCCAATCCAGCTTTTGGTTGGCTATTTTGAAAATAGAGTCTCAAGGACTTTTCAAACCTTGATCCTCTGGATCTCTGCCTTCTTAGTAGCTAGGATTACGGTGGGGGTAGGGGCACTCAGCAATTTTTTTTTTTGTCTTGTCATGTCATGCTACTGAGAAGCATATTTCTGAAGGGGACCCTGGGAGCATTTTGGCGGGTGAATCTGACTCTCCTAACAGGCCCTTCACAGGAAGGGAGTCATGGGAAGAGGTGAGGCCTGAGCTGTGAAAGTAGCTGAGGCACATCACAGGAAAGGTTGGTTCTCAAGCAAATAAAGCTGCCCTGGTCCATTGCCCTCCCGATCTTAAAGGCCTCATTGAAGATATTCTTTTCTGACTGAAGTGTTTAAACATTCTAATAAAATATATCCCTCAAAAACAATCACACACAAAAAACCTGTCAGACAGGGTAGGAAGCCCCCCTCGGACATGGCTGGCTTTCCCCCCAGCTCCTCAAAAGCAGCCAGGCCTCTCATTGTCATCGTGCAGAGAGGCGGCAGCAGAGTGTGTGTGTGTGTGTGTGTGTGTGTGTGTGTGTGTGTGTGTGTGTGTGTGTGTGTGTGTGTGTGTGTGTGTGTGTGTGTGTGTGTGTGTGTGTGTGTGTGTGTGTGTGTGTGTGTGTGTGTCCTGCTCTGAGGAGATAGCCCCACGGGGCCCACATGCTGCTTCCCCAGCTCTAGCCCCCTTTCCAGCCACCGAAGGCCTTTCAGAGCCTGTCATGCTTTCCTCCAGGGCGTGGCCACCCCATGGGAGAGGCCCGCATGTGGGGTGTCCTGAGCATCCTGTCCAGCTATGCTCCCCATGGAATGGCGACCACAATACCTCATGTACACACACACACAAATAAATCAGGGGAGGCTGGAGAGTGAAACACAGCAGCTGCTTCAGTGAGTGAGTGAAGAGCCCCTCTAGCCCCGTCTCTATCCCCAAACCCATCTCAACCCCTCACCCCTTGTTCAGATTGTGGAGAAAGGTGGGCTCCTCTGCATGCTTACTATGCATCTGTTATGCTCTTTCATGCTTTGGGGAGAGTAAATACTAGGTTTGCTTGGGTCACTGTCATATTCCAAGAACAAGCACTTAGGTTTGGTGAGGTGCCCTATAAGTATTTGCTAGTGCAGACACAGATTTCTTGAGGGGCTGGGTAGGAGACTGTTTGCCAATGAGCGAAGCAGGGGAATAAGGATTTCTTCAACCCTTGTCTGAGGGGGGTGGTTTTGGTATTGTGGTCTCCCTGCTTGCCTCACTCTCCCTTCCCTAAGCCACACACAGATCCCTTAGCCAGGCCCCAGCCTCAGTCTTTCTCTTCTGAACCCCCCCACCCACCCCCTTGCCTGCCTGTGCACCTAGGAGACCCTGCTCTGTTCCCAAGCAATCCACCAAGCCTCCGCCCCTGTGCATTTGCCCCTCCCTCTCCTTCCCCCTCCTTCCTCCCCCACCCCCACTTTCTGCACAAACAAGCTCAGTACCGCTGGAAGAATTGTGGGGGTAAACAGAGCTTGGAGAGCGGAGGTGAGGGGCACAGCTGGTCCTGCCGAGAGCGAGCTGTGGAAATCCCCAGGAGAAACCGCTGGTGACCTGGGGCTCAGGACCCAGGAGCATGGGGCTGGAAGGACCAGAGACAGGTAAATGAGATGCCGGGCGTGGGGATGGAAGTCAGAGGGACGGAAGGAGCAAGAGACAGGTGAGGCCTGTAGACACACATGGGAGGAGGCTGAAGCAGGAAATGAATAGGAGAACTGGGCTTCGGCGTGGGGGAGGGGGGAAGCAAGGGGGGGGGTCTCCCATCTTTAGCAGGAAATCAGAGGCAAGAAATGAAAATCTAAAGACACTGAAAGGATGAGTCAGGGGGTTGGGGCCCAAGCAGGTAGAGGGTCCTCACCCTAGATCCACCACAAGCCAGTGGAGTCACCTGGCCCTAGGGACTCAATTTCCCGATCTGAATATTGGGGCCACGCAGCTGCAGCGGTGAGGTCCATGAAGAAAGTTGTTCTGGCTTAGGAAAGAGAGGAGCTTAGTGGCAGGCCCTCCCACAAGAGGGGGTAGCTGTTATGTGGAGCTGAGCAGCTGCTGGGAGACCCGTTGGCTCCAACTCACCCAGCACACTTGTTAAAGGTGCAGTTGTTCAAGCCCTACGCCGGTCCCTGTGTGTCCGCAATGATGAAGACCCATGCGAGCAATGCAGCCCCCACCAAGATCTTCTTCCCACCGTGTGGGCCAGTGGGGTGGGCTGGGGGTGAGATTTCCACGGCCACAGAGACTGTCCTGAGTTACCCCACAGAGCGGGGTTGAGCACAAAGACTGCAGTTAGGTAGGAGCTGCTGCTGGGCCTGGTTAAGAACAACTTTAACCCAGCCCTTGGATCTTCCTAGTTGGCCAGCCACCAGTGACTCTGCTGCCCGCACCCAATGGGAGTGGCCCGGGCCAAGAGTTTGCAGGCCCCTGGTTGGAGATCCCGGAGCGGTCACCGTGTGTAGCTGGCATCGCCCCTGTGATCTACTACAGCGTCCTCCTGAGCCTGGGGCTGCCCGGTGAGTGGGAGCTGGAGGCGGTGATCGGAGGCTCAGCCAGACACCGGACCCTTCTCCTCAGGAGACCCCGATCCTCAGTGGTGCCCCTCTCAGAGACTCGGGATCATAGGTTCCAGGTCTCCCTTGGCCTTTACAGGGTATTCTGGCTCACTGGGGGAAGTAAAGTCTAGGGGAATAAATGTGAGAGGCTAGGATTTGAGGTCCTCAAAGCTAAACACAAGGTTAGCCCCCCCCCCACCTTTCTCTGCAGCAGTGAGGTTTTGGATGGCTGAGTTCACATACAGTCATGCATAGATCCATGCAGTGGATCCATCCCTAAGTGGCCCCACTGCCTTCTGGGAGCAGGATTTGGGTGGGACAGGGGTTCAGGTAAGGTGGTCCAACTTAGAGATCTCCTCCAAACTGGCAAATAAGCTTGTGCCTGTGTCCAGAAGGGCCTGTGTCCTGCGGGTCATGGAATACCCGGAAAGGACAGAGAAGTCCCCAGCAGGAAGATACTGATGTGTGAACTGACCCGGGTGGCCAGCCTGGCTCACGGCCTGGCGTGTGGATAGACAGGACAGGGCTGAGCTGGTTGGCCAGATGGGCAAAAGAGATATTTTGTTTTAGTTTTAGCAGTCCTGGTGTGAAACCCAGGGCCTCAGGCATACTGGCAAGTGCTTTACCACTGAGCCCCAAGTTGTAGTACTGTATGTATGGGGAGGTGGGTGTGGGTATAGTGAGGCTTGAACTTGAGGCCTGGGTGCTGTCCCTTAGTTTTTTCACTCAAAGCTAGTGCTCTACCACTTGAGCCACAGCGCCACTTCCGGTTTTCTGGTGGTTTATTGGAGGTAAGAGTCTCACAGACTGGCTTCAAACCATGATCCTCAGATTTCAGCCTCCCGAGTCATTAGGCTTACAGGTGGGAGCCACCAACGCCCAGCTCCAAGGTGGGTATTAAGAAGGATCTGGAAGCCAGGTGCCGGTGGCTTACACCTGTAATCCTAGCTACTCAGGAGGCTGAGATCTGAGGATTGTGGTTCAAAGCCAGCCTGGGTAGGAAAATCCCCACCAGAAAACCAGATGACACTGTGGTTCAAGTGGTAGAGCACTAGCCTTGAACTGAAAAGCTAAAGGACAGGCCCAGGCCCAGAGTTCAAGCCCCATGACAGAAAAAAAGAAAAGGAAGGAAAAGAAAAAAGAAAGAAAGAAGGAAGGAAGGAAAGAAAGAAAGAGAAAAGGAAAGAAGGAAAAGAAGGATCCAGAAAGAGAAGTCATCAACACTGGGTTTTAAGAAGGATCTAGAAAGAGAAGTCAGCACTGTCCCCCACCCCCACCCCAACCCAGCCTGGGCAACTGTGGGGAGGAGAATCTAGCGTTTACCTGTCTCTGACCTCTCCCCTCCTTGTCTCTGGTCGCCATCAGTCAATCTCCTGACCACAGTGGCCTTGGCCCGTCTTGCTGCCAGGACCAGGAAGCCCTCCTACTACTACCTTCTGGCACTCACGGCCTCAGACATCGTCACGCAGGTGGTCATCGTATTTGTGGGCTTCCTCCTTCAAGGAGCCGTGCTGGCACGCCAGGTACCCCAAGCTGTGGTGCGCACAGCTAACATCCTGGAGTTTGCCGCCAACCATGCCTCGGTGTGGATCGCTGTCCTGCTCACGGTCGATCGCTACCATGCCCTGTGCCAGCCCCTGCACCATCGGGCCACCTCGTCCCCAGGCCGGACCTACAGGGCCATAGCCACAGTCTTCAGTGCTGCCCTCCTGACTGGCATCCCCTTCTACTGGTGGCTGGACGTGTGGAGGGACGCAGACCCCCCCAGCACCATGGATGAGCTCCTCAAGTGGGCTCACTGTCTCATCGTCTATTTCGTGCCCTGTGGGGTTTTCCTGGTTACCAACTCAGCCATTGTCCTCCGACTCAGGAAGAGAGGCCAGCGTGGGGCACAAGCCTGGAGGAGCAAGAGCACCGCCATCCTCCTGGGGGTCACCTCGCTCTTCGCCATCCTTTGGGCACCCCGGATCTTCGTCATGCTCTACCATTTGTACGTGGCCCCCGTCCACCGGGACTGGAGGGTCCACCTGGCCTTGGATGTGGCCAATATGGTGGCCATGCTCAACACGGCAGTCAACTTCGGCCTCTACTGTTTTGTCAGCAAGACTTTTCGGGCCACCGTCCGACAGGTCATCCATGATGCGCACCTGCCCTGCACTCTGGGGGCACGGCCAGAGGACATGGGAGTGGAGCCTGTGCTGAAGCAAGTAGGACTCCCCCAAAGAGACAGCAATGTAGAAGAGGGGCTCCAGCCGGGGGGCCTGGAGAGCTCAGGACCACATGTACGGGCACTTTAGTAGTGGTACCCAACAAAACGTCACCTAACCCCTCCTTTGCAACCTGGGGGAGAGGGAGAGACTCCCCATTTGGACGTGGCTCCCTGGCAGAAAGAACAACGTAGCTGGCTCTTAGATTAGCTTCACCTTGATTTCTGTTTCCTGGTTGGGGGCGGGGGGGAGAGTTACAAGCTCTGCGGGCACAAGCTGGTTGAGACGGGGGGGTGTCTCTTGTTTGAGGGGTGTTTCCCCTGGCACATGATGAATATTAATGTTGGTTGAAGTAATGAATTAATGAATGAAATGGTTGGTGGGTGGATGGAAACCATTTCCAGTCCAGTCCCTTTCTTGAGCTTACCTTTTAGTCTCCAATTTAGTGTCTTCTCTGGCTCCCAGTGGCAAAGTGGGAAGCCAAAAAGACAAACATCTGCAGGTTTAGAGGCCCTTCCTAGGCCAGGGAGCCAGCATGTTTGACTGAGCAGTGGGAGACGGCTCACTGGGTGGAGCAGAAGCCCCCAGGACAAAAGGGAAGCAATTGTCTCAACACAGACTGGATGTGCCCAGTCCTGTTTGGCCATCCTCAGGGAGACACACCCCCCTTAGTGTTAGCCATGCTGGTTGGATTCTGCCTTGCCTCCTGCTATGGAGTCATACCTAGTTCCTGGAGTCCGCCACAGAGTCTGGGGTTGCAGACTCTGGGCTGCCATTGAGGTGAAGAGGTGGAATCAGCCTGGAACACCGGCGGCGAGGACTTGGTTGAGGGCAACCCCTGAACCTCCAGTCCACCCGCCAGACACACACTTTCCTTTGTGATGGGGGAGGAGATGGCTACCTGGGCTGTCTCTCCTCAGCCTCTCTAGGCCCTTCCTTGCCCTGGCCTGGGGACACAGCTGGGAGAGCTTAGCAAATGGAGCTCCCACCTGCTCCAGGTCTTGGGTAAACACATTAGCTGGAGAGCTGGGGCCCCTTTCTGCTTCGCAGTCCAGGTGAGCTGACCTTTTTCCTGAATGGCAGGTTCAGGCCCAGCCCCCAGCCCCACTGGGTGGGAAAACCCAGGCCAAAGAGCTCATGTGCACTGGGCACACAGCTGGAGCAGAATAAATGCTCAGCTTGCTCCACTTTTCACGCATCCTGACAGAGGGTTTCAGCTACTGCTCAGAAGATAACATGAATCCCCAGCTTCTAAGCCACAACTCTCCAAAAGCAAAAATATTGTTCCCAAGTGTGTCACAAACACACACAGTGACACACCCTGACCTGAACTGATGAGGCGATTTCAAGTCTTCACTATGGCCCATAGTGAGTATCTGTAGTTCTGCTCTCTGGGTGTATCAGGCTGTGTGTGTGTGTGTGTGTGTGTGTGTGTGTGTACATGCACCCTTAGCCATACCCTACTAGAGTATACTAGAGTAGCTCTCCTACAGAGCATAAGGCCACATAGCACCTTCCTCTACTCTGGAAATACTGTGATTGTCAAGGCACAAGTGTTTCTGATGACAGGGACCTGTAAGAACACCTGCACAGGCTCTAGGTTGCTTGAAGGGGTGAGACATGGAGACTCCCCGGCGCATGCGCAGGTGTGGCTTGGATGGGCATGGTTATGGGTCCCAGGGTGCATGCGCAGAGGTATGCTGGGCCATGCAGGCAGGAGCATTGGGCTGTGCTTAGGAGCAAGGAGGTGTGAATAGAGGCAGCCAGGGAAGAAGCCCTCAGGGAGGGGGTGGTGCTGCCCAGCCCAGTCACTTGGCTTGCAAAGAGCCAAGTCCACCCACACAAAGAGGCCCTGGGAAAGAAAGCAAAAGCTGTCTTTTGAGACAGAACCAAATGGAATACTGGGTTGCAGGCCTTCTGCCTCCTCTGTGAGAAATCCCACTGAGGCCATGGGTGGGGGGGGGGCATCAAGGCCTTGGCCGGATGCTCTTTCCACTGCCTGACAGGCTGTCCCTCAAGAGTCCTGTCCCTGGACACTGGTGAGACCAGTGACTCCCAGCAACCCTTGGGAAGGCACCTGTGAGGCTGGTAGTTTTATGTCCGTGTCTTCTAACAGCCTGTGTACCAAGTAATGTATCCGTGTCACAGACAGGAAACTGAGGCACAGAGAAGTTAAATGGTAGTCTATAGCCCCGAAGCCGATCGAGGACAATGACTCCCCCCCATCCATCTCAGGTATAGAAGACAAAGGAAGGACATTCTCAGGATGCTTTGCATGGCTTAGAATATTCTAGTTTCCAGCTTAGCTGACTGGGCAACAATAGCCTATCTCCCTAATGAAATGTATTAGTGTCTGAGTACACCGGGTGGTACCTACAGTCCTGGCTATTCTGAAGCCTGAACAGGAGGATGCCTAGAGCTCAGGAGTTCAAGACTAGCCTCAGCCACATCATGAGAGCCCATCCCAAAATATATAAACAAACAAACTGCTTTAGATAAGTTTCTTTTCACTTTTCTTTCTCTCCCCCCCCCCCCCCGCCCCTCTTCCCCCTTTGGCCTTACAACGGGGTTTATACTCAGGACGTTGTGTTTATTTCATTTCTCAGAGCTTCTCATTTTCCTTTGTTGTTTCCAGTCCTCCCCCACCCCCCAACCGCAGCTGTCATTCTGTGTCCGGACTGCATTATCACAACCTCAGCACGTGCTTGGATTTCTCTCCGATGGGTACCCAGCATGCCTCACAGGAACTCACTGACTCACCGGTCGCCTCTGCCCCTCTGACTTCCAACATACTCCAATTTCCCCCCTTGAGGGAACTCTTAAAACTCCTCCCCTCCCGGTTTTTGTTTGATCTTAGCACATTCTGCAGTAACAAAATACAAGAGCCTGGGGAACTTAGAATTTTATTTGGCTTACCATCAGAAGGTTACAAAGTCCAAAGCAAGGAGAGAAATGAGACAGAGGAGGTATGCCAGCGTGGGTCTCCTTTCTTATAAAGCCCCTAGCCTCATGACTTATTTGGTCCTAAATAGGACTGTGGGGACTGTTTCCAACCTGTGCACTTTTGGGGGACACAATCAAACCACTGCATAGTCCCCAATAGACAAAAAACAAAAGCCTCCACAGCTGTCCAGGATCTTTCAAAGGAGCTCAATAAGATGCGGTTGTTTCTCAATTCCTAAAACGTGACAAGGATCTCACTTCCCTCCAGGCCAAACCCAAGGGAATGGTTCATCAATGGCATGTGGGCGTGGACCTGTGATTGGGTAGAGACCTTGCAGTCTTTACTCCAGCCCAGGGGAGGGAATCCCTAGAGAGCAACACAACGTTCTGAATTAAACACTGAGCTAGGCTATAGAGATGCTGGCAAAGTCGGTGTGACATTTTTACACGCCCAGACTTGTATTTCAGTGTCCTTGGGGGGAAATGAGCTCCTCAGTGGGTTTTCCCGACTCCTTGTGGAGCTCAGACAGCAGGCGGCGCTGCAGGACTGGCTGGCTGGGAGATCCTTACTAGCAGCTTGGAGGGAGGCCCTTTATTGGGATTTGTAGGAATATAGAAGTTGGTGCCGGAAACAGAGCCTGCCCCAGGGCCCACAGCCAGAAGGAATCACTAGTTGGGAGAGTGACTCGCTTCCTTTGCCTTCACCCTGAAGCCATAGCTGCCACGTTGGGTTCGGCAGGCCCTGGCGGACTACTAGTCTCTCCTACCACTGTGCTGGATCTCCTGTATGTGGCTGTGTGCGGGGTGAAGGGGGGCTCTTTCATTACCCACTTCCCTCCCTGTGGGTGAGCACCAGTCAGTCCTCCTGCAGGTCTGCCCTCTGTGGGAGCTTGACCCTCCTGGGTTTCGTGAGTGTCTGAGATCTTACTTGCCTCACCCCATTCTAGTTCTACTAGGAGCCCCCAAACCAGCACTTTCTATCCCCAGCAGTCACAAGGGTGCCCTGCCTAACAAGGGCATTTAAATCCTGGCAGTGATCCTGATCCTCAGGGGAGGGGATGGAGAGACCAGGAAGGTGAAGAGAGAGGAAGTTGCCAAACCTCCCATGAGTCATGCCCAGAAGTGGACAGAAGGGGGGGGGGGCCTCCACCCATCTATCACTATTGTCCCCAGAACAACTCCCTGAAGAGAGGGGGAGTTTTGACCTTTACCTTACCCCCCCCCCCCCCACACACACACCCTTACCCACAGCCTCAGGCCTCCATAGTCTCCACCTCCATCCCAAGCTGGGGCCTGGCTTTGCTAGGCAGCTGTTGTGAGCTGGAATCTGGCCTCCCCTTTCTCCTCTGACTTAGCTTTCCCTCCTTTGGTCTACTCGGGTGGGTGGGAGGAACAGGGAGGCAGAGGCTGTCTCCTTTCCACAGTAATGGAGAACCCTGAGACCTCATCCACCTGCTAGGCCTGGGCAGAGGGTCCTCTTCCTAGGGTGGGGGTGGGGGGGTGGGGGGACATCTCCTGCCAGGATGCTGGTGGGGGAAGAGTTAACTCAGCCTGTGGTGGCTCCTTCCAGACTCCTCCTGAGGTATATTTAGCAGGCACAGCAGGGCAGGGCAGACAATGGAGGAATGCCAGGCTGCCCCAGTTACCGCAGCCCTTCTCAAAGGGTGGGAGCCAGAGGGTGCTTTGAGAGCTGGAGGAAATGGAGGGGGGAGGGGAGGTATGGAGGTGGAGGCAGGGGTCAGGAGGAGGGTCTGAGGAGGCTTTAAGTGGAGGATGTAGTCTCAGGGAGAACAGATGACCAGGCCTGTTCTTCAGGGACCCAGTCTCTTGGGGACTGCAGGAGAGCGGGCTGGGAACAGAGTGACCGGGTGTATGGGACTGGGTGGGGCCATCTGTAGGAGCCCCATGCTGTGGTGGTAGGGTCCCTTTCCAGTCCCCCTCTTCCTCCTCAACCTGCCCAGCTGTGTCCACTTCAGGGCACAGGGTCTGCACCCTTCCAAAAGAACCTAAGGATAATTCCCCACAGCATAGCTTCAGCCCCACAGGCTGCTTCCAGAGACAAGGGGTTTGGCCATGTTGGCTGATCTCTGCACGGCCCTCCTTTCTTCCTTCTCCCAGGTCAGTGGATGGAATGGAGAAGCCAGATC